GCGCTAAAACAAACGCTATAACGAACGTCAACTTCAACAATACTCTCTGACTGCAGATCAATTACTCACTACCTACACATTGTCCCTTCACGTTTTCACCATCTTATATATACCAGACTACCGCCAATCTAGTAATCTTGGGAAGGTTCGAGAAAGAAGTGGCGTGATACTAGTCACGTGACCTCGCTGACGCAACAATACTTTTTCATCAAAGAAACATTCAGAAGAAATGAAAAACAGCTTTACCAATGGGATTGGGCAAAAGGACATTCAACAGAACCAGCTCGATTGTATTCTTCATTCAGCTATTGCTGCCTGTCCTACTGTATGCTTCATTTGGATACTCCTACTGCATACTTCATTTGGATACTACTACCTATCCTACTGTCTACTTCATTTAGATATTACTGTCTGTCCTACTGTGCAATACATTTAGATATTACTGTCTGTCCTACTGTATAATACATTTAGCTATTGCTGGCTGTCCTTCTGTATGCTTCATTTGGTTAGTGCTCCCTGTTCTACTGTATGCTTCATTTGGTTACTGCTGCCTGTCCTACTGAATACTTCATTTCACTCTGTTGCCTGTCTTACTATATACTTCATTTGACTACTGTTACCTGTTATAATGTATACTTCATTCGAATACTGTTGCCTGTCCTACTGTATACTTCATTTGGTTACTGCTGCCTGTCCTACTGTATACTTCATTTGACTACTATTACCTGTCATACTGTATACTTCAGTTAGATACTATTGCCTGTCCTACTGTATACTTCATTTGGTTACTGCTGCCTATCCTACTGTATACTTCATTTGACTACTGTTGCATGTCCTACTGTATACTTCAATTAGATACTATTGCCTTTCCTACTGTATACTTCATTTGGTTACTGCTGCCTGTCCTACTGTATACTTCATTTGACTACTGTTACGTGTCATACTGTATACTTCAATTATATACTATTGCCTTTCCTATTGTATACTTCATTTATCTGTTGCTGCCTTTCTTACTGTATGCTTCATTTGGTTAGTGCTGCATGTTCTACTGTATACTTCATTTGGTTACTGCTGCCTGTCCTACTGTATGCTTCACTAGACTATTGCTGTCTGTCCTACTGTATACTTCATTTCGATACTACTGCCTGTCCTACTTATACTTCATTCAGCTCTTCTACTTTATGCTTCATTTGGTTAGTGCTGCCTGTTCTGCTTTATACTTCATTTCGATACTACTGTCTGTCTGTCCTACTGTGTACTTCATTTGGATACTATTGCTTGTCCTACTGTATACTTCATTAAACTACTGTTGCCTGTCCTACCGTATACTTCATTTGACTACTGTTGCATGTTCTACTGTATAGTTCCTTAGACTACTGTTAACTGTCCTACTGTATACTTCATTTAGCTATTGCTCCCTGTCATAGTGTATGCTTCATTTGATTAGTGCTGCCTTTTCTAATGAATGCTTCACTTGGTTACTGATGCCTGTCCTACTCTATACTTCATTTGGATACTGCTGCCTGCCCTAGTATATACTTTATTTGAATACTGCTGCCTGTCCTACTATATACTTTATTTTACTACTGTTGCATGTTCTACTGTATGCTTCATTTGGTTAATGGTGCCTGTTCTACTGTATAATTCATTTGGATAATACTGCCTGTCCTACTATATACTTCCTTAGACTATTGCTGCATCTTCTACTGTATATTTCATTTGACTACTGTTGCCTGTACTACTGTGTACTTCATTTGACTGCTGTTGCCTGTCCTACTATGTACTTCATTTGACTACTGTTGCCTGTCCTACTGTATACTTCTTTTGAATTCTGCTTCCTGTCCTACTGTATTGTTCATCTCGATTTTGCTGCCTCTTCTACTGTACAGTTTAGTTGGATATTCCTGACTCTCCTACTGCTACTATACAGTTCAGTTGGATATTGCTGTACTGTTCAGGAGTAGTCAATGTTAAAAAAACGTAATAAATTTCTTATAAATAAAACCCTTTATCACTAGTGTTTTTTACTTCGCCCTTTGAAAAGTTTACTAATAAGAAATGACATTCCTTAAAAATTAGTTTCATCTAGAGAAACGGATCAAAGGTCAAACCGTTCAACAATCTTAATAATTTTAGAATATGGAGAATTTGAAAGGCAGAAAGGGAACCCTAAAAAGCTGTTGTTTGATTTTATCACAACAGTTGTGCCCAGCATGAAAACTTACCAACTTTATTCAGATGATAGTATAACCTTGAATTTCCTCAAGTTTCATCACTTTTCAATGTTTCTCCATAAGGCAGACTCGTTCTTTCGCACCAGAGAGGTGATAGGCGTTTCGTGAAACAGGTTATTTTAAACGTACATTCAGCTGGTGAGCTATACAAGTTTTAATCATGTACTTGTATAGAATAAGGTGGCGTACCAGCTCTTAAGCAAAGCTGACGTCACACAAGATAAACGTTGTACATAGTTTACCATAATTCAAAGGTAATTTCTGGCAGATAGCAGTAACACGATATTTTGTTTTTTTTTGTGGTATATATTTAAAGCGATGCTTGTTTTCTTCTCATCTGCCTCCCCCCCCCTCTCCCTGACTTATTTTTTATTAATTTCAATATTATTCATGTTTTATCTAAACTTTTATTGCAATTGTTTTATGACATCAAGAACAGATGAGGCCTAAGTAAAAGCATAAAAACTATATACATATATTCGTGGTTATTTGAATATTTCAGTATCAATGGAGAACCCAAAATGCTTGAAGAGAGTTTGAAAACAAATGAACGGGTAACAAAGAAAACGTATCACAAGTTTAACACAGTAACAACTTTATAACAAGTTTAACACAGTAACAACTTTATAACAAGTTTAACACAGTAACAACTTTATAACAACTTTAACACAGTAACAACTTTATAACAAGTTTAACACAGTAACAACTTTATAACAAGTTTAACACAGTAACAGCTTTATAACAAGTTTAACACAGTAACAACTTTATAACAAGTTTAACACAGTAACAACTTTATAACAAGTTTAACACAGTAACAACTTTATAACAAGTTGAACACAGTAACAACTTTATAACAAGTTTAACACAGAAACAAATGTACAGCATTTCCATAAGCTTTTGTCATCAAGTCTCCAAAATTATAGATCAGTGGTTCTCAACCTTTTTCCAGTAATGTACTCTCTAGTTACTTTTCAACATTATCATGTACCCCTCGCACCCCACCACATACACAATAACAAAATAACTATCACATACAAAACGAAGGGAATACCAATTAAATATATGTACCTCCCGGAAGTAATTTTGTACCCCCAGGGGTACAAGTACCCCTGGTTGAAAACCACTGCTCTAGAGCATGTATAAAAGTTGTTGTTGCTGTTGTTTGAAGTTAAGCTGTACAATGGGCTATCTGTGCTCTACCCACCACGGGTATCGAAATCCTGTTTCTAGCGTTGTAACTCCGCAGACATACCGCTGTACCACTGGAGGGCAATGTGTAAAAGAAATGTGTTTTCTGACAAGAGTGTGTATTGAGATAATACACTGTGCACACGAATACTGTATGCGAGAGTTTATTCAGTCACCTGAAATACGAGAAAACACATTAGATATATGACGCATTAGAGTGTTATAACTTTTGGGCCACCCTGTATGTTGTATAATATTGGTAAAACAAATATTCCACGTAAGTAATATTCTTCTATGTGCTACAACAATGTACTAATGTTTCTATATTTTTAAAACATAATACGATATAGAATAGTGACTACTGTTTATTATGGATATTTTCAGATAGACAAACCTAATGTTATAGGATCACATGATTCGTGGCATGTCACGTGCAACATAGATATTTTCGTAAAGAGCACGTGACAAACGTCAATGTTGCCATGGGAACGAGTTTGATCTTCTTCAGAGCGCTCCTGCTGCACAGTGGCAAGAAATGAGCCCTGTTCCATGTATAATACATTCTGAAATGCAGCTTCTGTCTTCATGTGA